GCGATGATGGGCTCGAGTATAGCAGGGATTGTGGGGCTGGTGCGGGATCGGGCAGTGTTTCGTTCTGCTGTGCATGGGGTCGCTATGAGTCAGAAACGACTCGACGGCACTTAACAACAACAACAACAACTATACCTCCAGAGCTCTTCAGCCTTCCGTTAGTGCAAGAAGAAGCTAGAAGTCTTTTCAGTGATTTAAAAGCTACATGTGATTGTGATAAAGAATTTGTTGCAAGTAGGGTTGGTTCAATCATTTCAAATAAGAGCAGATTTATACAACATTAAAGGGTATGTACAGATTGTCCATTGTCAGCATTTGTAACGTAGGTTCTGCCTATAAAGCTATAAACAAATACAAACTCACTGCCCTCTAATTGAGTCGACTCATAGCAACCCATCCTTGGGTTTCTGAGGTGGTATCTCTACAGAAGTAGATTGCCCAGTCTTCCTTCTGAGGAGTGGCTGGTATAAACAAATAGTGTCATGTAATATTTGAGAACATACTTGGTGAAATATATATCTTACTGTTATTAAAACTTGGCTTTTTTACCCCCCAGGAGAAATCTCAATTATTTTTCCAATGCTTACGCAGCGGCAGTTAGTGCTGTGGATCCTGATGCAGGAAATGGAGAACTTTGCATTAAGGTTCCCTCGGAGCTATGGAAGCATGTGGATGGTAAAGTAGTGAGACTATATTGATGTTACAGTAAGACGTGTTAGATTCAGTGAGCAGACAATTTTACATGAAAATTAATGATGTCAGAATTGTAAATTAATCCTTTGAAATACACAGCATTAAAAAGTTGGAAGCTCTTCTTTTTCTTTTTACAATGGTGTGTGTTGTGTTAGTTTATAGGATAAATTAGGTACACGTTTGGCAGTTTCTGTACAAATTATTCAGTTACATTAGTTCCTTTCTTTACAGTTCTTTTTTTTCTGAATCACTGTCTAACAGGAAAATAGCATCAAAGGCTGAAACAAAAAGCAACTCATTGCACTAATATTTTTTGAAGAGTGAAAGTTATGGAGTAATTTTTTAAGATTTGAGAACTCACACAATATCAAATCTGTTTAGAATTTTAGCACTTTGATCCTCAAAAATTATCTGATTTTATTCTTTCCTTTTGTGCAAAAGTCAAGAGTAACTGCCCTGTGGAAATTATTTTAGAGAATTAGTGGTTGAGTTAAAGCTAGGACATCAAGATTTTTGATACCCATTCTGTAATTTTTATGAATAGTCTGTCTTCTTATTTCCAAATCTTTGTTTTTTCTTGTATAAAGCCATCATAAGATTATACATAAAGTTTTGCCTACATTTAATTTAACCAAGATAAGGAATTATAAAAGACTTCCTGTTTTGCTTTTGCTTTGTGTGTGTGTATGTTTGGGAGGAAGGTGCACATTTTAGAGGACAGACATAGAAAGTTGTCATTGCATGTTCAGAGGAGATTGCAGGTAGTTCAGTTTTTGTAATGTTTTGGAGGATATTAAAAATTAAAAAAAAAAATCTTACTATAAAAGCAATACATGTTTAACATGTAGAAATCAAGCATATAATGTCATGAATTCTGAGAGGACCACAACCCATATTTGTATTTTTAGAAAACACAGCTGGCCATGACTAGAATTAATTGGTGGTAGAGACATCAGTGGAGGCAGGCTACCGAGTTAATACAGGTAGAGAGAATGGTGAAAGCCTAAATTAGAGTAAAAAGCATGGTTTTTTCATGTAAAACTCAGCTTTTGATTTTCATTTTATGTTCAGTGTTGTTCTTATTAAATACCTAGAGACAACTGTAATTTACTTCCGTATTTATGAATCAGTGTATCTGTATATGTATCTTCTGCAGAGTTAAAGGTCCTGAAAATACACATCAATTTCTCTTTGGATCAGCCAAAAGGAGGTCTTCATTTCGTGGTGCCCAGCGTAGAGGGAAGTATGGCTGAGAGAGGTGCTCATGTTTTCTCCTGTGGGTATCAGAACTCCACAAGGTAGATTATGAGTTTTTACATATCTCCATTACTTTCATGTTTCCATTGAATTTTTTCTAGTTATATATGTTTTCAGTGTAAACTGAGAGGTTTGAGCTTAATCACCTAAACCTCCCCCACCTCTCCTGAACCTTGTTCCATTAGACACTCCTCCTCCTCTCTCCTGGGCCTTTCCTTTTCCTCTCTTTGCTGATGCTCTCCCCTTAACCAGTACTTAGTTTCAAGTCTGCTGTTTTAAGATAATCATCTCACTTGCTTTCCTTTGTTTTTTTTGAACTTTATATTGAAGCAAAACATACAGAAAATTGCACATAGCTGTAGTTCCCAGAATTTTTTTCTTTAAATTTTATTTAGTTTGTTAACAATATACACAGAAAAACATACATCAGCAGTTTTTACACATATAATCTGATGACATGATATTCTTTGAGTTGTGCAGTCATTCTCACCCCCCTTTTCTGAGCTGTTCCTCCCTCATTATCATAAACTCACTGCCCCTTAGGTTCCTATCTAATCTTTCAAGTTGCTGTTGCTAATTTGGTCCCACGTAGATAGTTCTGAAAAGAGCATAATGCTCACAGTAGACCTTTTCCACTAGTTAAGCTAATCAGTTGTTCAGTTTTAAGCCTTCAGGGGATATTTTTAGTTTAAGGTTTAAAGATTATCTCAGGGCAATACCTTCAAGGGTCATCTATTCTCATGTCTCCAGAAAGTTTAGAGACCATGAGAATATGAAATTTTGTTCTACATTTTCTTCCTTTTGGTCAGGAGTCATCTTTGGAATCTTTGATTAAAATGTTCAGTAATGGTAGCGAGGTACCATCTAGTTCTGGTCTCGTGCCAAAGGAAGTGGCAGTTGTTCATGGAGGCAGTTAGCCACATGATTCGTATCTTCCTCACTGATTTTTGTTCTTTCTTTCCTCAGCTACTCTTCTTAAAAAGAAGAGGGCACTCTCTTTTTCAGTCTCTTACCTCTTAGTGTTTACCTGTTTATCACATTTATGAAGTGTTTTATCGTGTGCTTTCTTTAGACTATTAACTCCTCTAAGGAAGGGATGATGCCTTATACTTATTTGTGTTTCAGTACTAAGTACAGAACCTGGCACACGATAAGATCTGATGTGAATTGAAAGAGAATTAAATAGAAATTTCATATCTGGCTTTATCAGCACTCAGTTTGAATTTATATAAGTGTATTAAATACTCTAGAATAGCATTTTCTTAACTTAAAGGATAGATTCTTTATATTAATTGTGTTTTATGAAAGCTTTATTATCAACTTTTTCAGTTTCTGGAAATGAATTCTATATATAAATTCACTAGTGTGAAGATACAAGTTAGTATTATTTTAAAATTAAAAATTGGAACTAAAAATAACTTTGTTTCAGAGTTTGTCCTGGAAGTGTTGCATATTATAT